CCGACCCGACCCGCCTGCGTCAGGGTCCGCCCCTCCCCGAGCCGACCTCGATCTTATGCCTCGGTCCGACCCACCCCTCCCTCCCCCTCCCTCGTTTCGTTTCGTTTCATATTGGGCCAAGGTTGTCACCCACCCACCACCGGCTCCTCCTCCCCATCCCTCCTCCTCCTCCTCCTCCTCCTCCTCCTCCTCCTCCTCCTCCCCCCCCTCCCCGCCTCCGCCTCCGCCTCCTCCTCCTCCTCCTCCTCCTCCTCCTCCTCCTCCTCCTCCTCCTCCTCCTCCTCCTCCTCCTTCCTCCTGGTGTCAGACAGCCGCCCCTGGGACGGCGCGGGAGGGCCCCCGCAAGAGCCCACCTTCGGCTCGCTTGCGACCGCGGGGGAACGGCAGCCAGCCCATCCTCAGCAGGTTGGCGCGCCCGAGCACCTGAGGGGCAGCACTCGGGGGCAACGATGGGGGCGAGTACAGTCAGTGGAGGAGGAGGAGGAGGAGGAGGAGGAGGCCGGAGGAGGAGGTGGAGGACAAATAGAAGAAAAAACAGCGTATCATACAGTGGAGGCCAGTCCACAAGAAACCTTCGACAAGAAACCCCACCCTGAGACCCCAGGACGTCGATAGATTTCTGGTGTGGGAACGTCACGCCTTCCATCGCAAAGCCATCGAGACCCAAGGAACCCAGGGCACCCTGGAGGCAAGCAGGGTGTCTCTTGGCATAGGTCCCCACTGTAGTCCAGGGGGGAGCAATACATGCATCCAGGGGCGACCGATGGCTCATGCCTTCGCCGAGGCTCCTGGGCGAGCGCGTGATGCCCGCCCCTGGGCTACTTCGCCCCGGTCGTCGCCCCCGAAGGGGGAGGGGGGGCGAGGGGGGGGGAGAGGCGCAGCGAAGAGCGGGGAGGGAGGCGAGGTCGGCGGCGAGCCAAGGGAGAAATGAGAACGAGAAGGCCTTCTCAGAAGGCTCGGAAGTCCACTGGCCTTCTGAGGAATTCTCTGAGTCTCCCCCCCAAAGAGACACCAGAGTCGGAAGGCGCGAGGAATTCTAAGAGGCCCCGCCGCCTTCTGAGACGGCCTTCTCCTTCTCATTTTCCCCCCCTCTGGGCGCGCCGCCGGGCTCAGCTTTCGAGCCATAACCGGGTCTCCAGCGACCGTTCGGGACGATCTGGGCATCCCCGAAACGCTCTCGGCGAGGCGCAGCCGCTGGAACCCATCCCCAGGCCAGAGACCTGCCGAGAAACGATGACACCGCCCGAAAACCTCGAGCATCGAATCTCGAACCTCCCCCCTCGCTCGCAGCCGAGAGGGGGGGGCGGAGGGGACGGGGGGAGGAGCAGCGGCCACCCCATGTGCGGCGGTCTTCTTCTTATCAGTATTCGTATGGTTCCTGATATGAAATATTATTAGTCTTGCACGATTCGCAATAAAACTGCTAATAGTACGCCGATGATGATGATTATCAGTGTTATTACCGACACGCGTCGTATTATCAGCAGTGTTAGTCATGTTAGTATTAGTAGTAGTAGTAGTAGTAGTAGTAGTAGTAGTAGTAGTAGAAGTAGTAGTATTAGTAGTAGTAGTAGTAGTAGTAGTAGTCGTAGTCGTAGTCGTAGTCGTAGTAGTAGTAGTAGTAGTAGTAGTAGTAGTAGTAGTAGTAGTAGTAGTGGTAGTAGTAGTAGTAGTAGTAGTAGTAGTAGTAGTAGTAGTAGTAGTAGTAGTAGTAGTAGTAGTAGACACTAGTATTAGTAGTAGCTAGTAGTAGTAGTAGTAGCAGCAAAAGTAGTAGTAGTAGTCGTAGTACGCGTAGTATCGTAGTAGTAGTAGTAGTAGTAGTAGTAGTAGTAGTAGTAGTAGTAGTAGTGGCAGTAGTAGTAGTCGTAGTAGTAGTAGCCGTAGTCGTAGTAGTAGTAGTAGTAGTAGCAGCAGGAACAGCAGCAGCAGCAGCAGTAGTAGTAGAAGTAGTAGTAGTCGAGTCGTAGTCGTAGTAGTAGTAGTAGTAATAGTAGTAGTAGTAGTAGTAGTCGTCGTAGTAGTAGTAGTAGCAGTAGCTGTAGTAGTAGTAGTCGTAGTATTAGTAGTATTCGTAGTAGTTGTTGTTGTTGTAGTATTAAGTAGTAGTAGTAGTAGCAGTACTAGTAGTAGTAGCAGCAGTAGTAAGAGTAGTAGTAGTAGTAGTAGTAGTAGTAGAAGAAGGAGCAGCAGTAGTAGTAGTAGTAGTAGTAGTGATGGTAGTAGTAGTAGTCGTCGTAGTCGTAGTCGTAGTCGTAGTCGTAGTAGTAGTAGTAGTAGTAGTAGTAGTAGTAGTAGTGGTAGTAGCAGTAGTAGTAGTAGTAGTAGTAGGTAGTCGTAGTAGTAGTACGGTTGCTCTTCATCATAATAACTAATATTCGTATTAGTGGTAATAGCTCATGATCAGTATCAGTGTTCGCACTCGTCGTAGCATTATTATTGTCAGCCGTATTAGCAGTGTGTCATATTAGTATTCGGAAATGCTATCAAGTCTAGAAGTGCTACTATTACGAGTTACTACTATTGATAGTAGTAGTAGTAGCAGCAGTAGCAGTAGTAGTAGTAGTAGTAGTAGTAGTAGTAGTAGAAGTAGTAGTAGTAGTAGTAGCAGCAGCAGCAGAAGCAGCAGCAGCAGCAGCAGCAGCAGCAGCAGCAGTAGTAGTAGTAGTAGTAGTAGCAGCAGCAGCAGCAGTAGTAGTAGTAGTAGTAGTAGAAGTAGTAGTAGTAGTAGTAGTAGTAGTAGTAGTAGCAGTAGCAGTAGCAGTAGCAGTAGCAGTAGCAGTAGCAGTAGCAGTAGCAGTAGTAGTAGTAGTAGTAGTAGTAGTAGTAGTAGTAGTAGTAGTAGTAGTGGTAGTAGTAGGAGTAGTAGTACTAGTAGTAGTAGTAGTAGTAGTAGTAGTAGTAGTAGTAGTAGTAGTAGTAGTAGTAGTAGTAGTAGTAGTAGTAAAGTAGTAGAAGTAGAGATTAGTAAAAGTAGTAGGGGATGAGGAGAGGGGGAGGAGGGGGGGGGGGGAGGAGAAGGGGGGGGGCGGGGGGCGGAGGGGGCGGACGGGGCGGAGAGGAGGAGGAGGAAAAAGGAGGAGGAACGACAGGGCGGAGGAGGAAGGAAGGAGGAGGAGAAGGGGACGGGGAGGGGAAGGGAGAAGGCGGAGGGAGGAGGCAGAAGGGAGGAGGAGGAGGAGGAGGAGGAGAGGAGGAGGAGGAGGAGGGGACGGGGACGGGGAGGGGGAGGGGGCGGCGAGGGAGGGGAGGTGGGAGGGGGCGGAGAAGGCGGAGGAGAGGAGGCGAGGCGGCGGGGGGAGGGGACCGGGGCGGGGGAGGGGGAAGGGGCGCCGCGGGCGGGATGACGGAGGCGGAGCGGCGGGGGGGGAGGCAAAGGGGGGGAGGGCAAGCAAGGTGCGCTCGCGTCATATCTGACATCCTACCCCTCCCTCCCATCCCTTACCATGGCGCAGATCCCCTCTCTACTCGCACCGTCGGATGTCAACCAGGGCGATGATCCCGAAAGGGTACGCGATGCTTTGTAGAGCACGGCATGGCATGGCGTAGAAGAGCACCGCGAAGCGTAGTATCAACCTAGCATTGCAGTGCATGCCGTGGCATGGCACGGGAAATGACGCCAGCGCTGAAGCGGGAGCACGAGTCGAAACGAGCGGAAGCGGGGAAATGAGGCCAGCGCTGCAGCGGGAACACGATTCGGGACGAGCGGAAGCACGGAAATGAGGCAAGCGCTGCAGCGAGAGCACGATTCGGAACGAGCGGGGCCCGAAAATGAAGCCGGCGCCTCATCGAGAGTAGCACTTTGGGAAAAAAATCCAAGCGAAAACCTAATTCCGGGGAAGGCTTCCCGGGCGCCAGAAGTTCAGCATTTTCAAAAGAACAAATTGTATTGGAATGGCCTTTTTTCGGCGCCGCCTCGGAACTCGATTTTCCGGCGCCGGCCGGAACCGGCTCCGGACCCGGCCCGGGCGCCGGCCCGGGCGCCAGCCCGGGCGCAGGCTCGGGCGTCCGGCCCGGGCGCTGGCTCGGGCGCCGGCCGGGAAGCCTCCCGGGCGCCGGAAGCATAAATTCAGCATTTTCAAAAGAACAAATTGTATGAGAATGACCTTCTTCCGGCGCCGCCTCCGAACTCGATTTTCCGGCGCAGGCCGGAACCGGCTCCGGACGCGGCCCGAGCGCCGGCCCTGCGCCGGCTCGGGCGTGCAGCCCAGGCGCCGGTGGAAATGATGCCAGCGCTGCAGCGGGAGCACGATTCGGAACGAGCGGGGCCCGAAAATGAGGCTGGTGCCTCAGCGAGAGCAGCATTTTGGAAAAAAATGCAAGCGAAAATCCAACTCCGGGGAAGCCTGTGTAAAAAACAATACGCGGGGGGGGGCGAATATTCCCAAGACGTCATCAGGGGAAGAGGGAGAGTAGTATTCATATTGAGTAATTGTGGAGGAGGAGGAGGAGGAGGAGGAGGAGGAGGAGGAGGGGGAGGGGAGGAGGAGGAGGGGGAGGGATAGGGGGAGGGGGAGGGGACTCTGAATATTGGGAGATATCTTCAGGGAGATCGACATGTGAGAGGGAAGGTTTGTTGTGATGATTATACACATAACATGCACATCGTCGCATGATGGCTCAAGGACAAAATAGTCGAGTTTGGTAGCGAGACATCTGCGATCTCGAGATCTTTTCATTCCATATCCATATCCATATTTCTTCTCGTTCTGGCCAGCCATAGCGTATTTCAGCACTGTCAACGGCCTCCTGCAGACCTGGGAACACCTTGTTGATAGGAGTACTGGCGCAGCTGAGCTCGTGGGAGCAGAAGGCTGGACCTCATCGCTCAATATCCCTCTCATCGAGAACCCGAGAAGCGACGTCACTAAATACTGGTACCAGACTCAAGTTCTGTGTGACTTTGAGCATCATACGATGACGGACGCGGCTACAAACGATAGCGGCCACGGCAGCAGACTTCCCTTGGACAGCTTCACAAGATCGACCCCTCCCGGATGGGTCACAGGCATCAAACGTTATCCGATTCGAAGGTATGCGCAGCTCTTGAAATTATGGTGGTTACAGACAGAGTTACCCGAGGCCCAAGTGGGGCCCAGCGATATGTGGACGACTTCGTGGACAGGTTTTTCAGTTTGCGATGAGCCTACGGCAACAACGATACGATATCATGACAGGTCAGATGGGATTTGTAGAAGCACCAGGGCTCTTCGCTGAACCAGCCACCGAAGCGGTACATATTGGTCCTCATGCTGTTCCAGCACAAGAGAGTGGCGCGAGGTTCCTCATATCTAAGATACTTGAGGAATATACGACAGACAGACAGGATCTACAGTGGGAAGTACTCACAGCTTTCTTTGACTTTTATTGCGGCAATAGCAAGTTCGGAAATTATCTAGCTTTATAGGTTCTGGCCCTTTCAG